TTACTGCCTATATTCATTAGCAACTCTTCAGGGTTGGTTTGGTGGGTTTTTTTTGAGGTACATGAAAGACAATCCACTAGTACATTTCTCATTCCGGGAATACCTTATTTGTTCTGGTTGAATATGCACTAGGCTCTTTCTAGATGAAAACAGATGAAAATCTACAAAATAAGAGCTTACAGTCTGTGCATGTTTGCTGCTAATGTCCTTAATGTTATCACTTAGACTTTAGATGGTAGTAGCTACCCATATTTGTTTTGATTGCCCCATATTCCCTGTTGATTAAATGATGGGGAGATGTTATTTCCATGTAACAAAATGGCTGTTCCTTCCCTTTACAATTCTAATTCACCAAAAAAAAATTCTTCATTGCACTGCACTGATGTTGTCTCATGTTCTTTTTTCTTCAAGTTAATCTCTGCGCAAACAATTTTTTTGAATGTGATAGTTTTTATCTAAAAGGAAGACATTCCTTCAATATTCTTTGATAAAGTACTGGTTAATTAATTTCAGAGAATGATGAGGAAAAGAAACAACAACCTTTTAGCTCTAATAATAACAGCCTTAATTTTTTCCCTTGGATGGATTTCCTTAGTTGAGGAGAGCTGGAAAATTGATTTCTTATTGATGTCATGATTTTTTTTTTCCAGCACTGCAAATGGCCTTTTTGTTAAAATGAACTTTTTACCCTCTTCTTTCTTCCTGTTCCTCTTGTTCTTTTTGAAACATTGTTAATTTTCCCTAAAGAGCACCCAAACACTAGTCTGTCATTGTCACTGCCAGCAGATTATAATTTAAAGCCACTGTTTACTATTCCCCATGAACAAGGGTATGTTTAGAGTACTTAATTATTAGAAAGAAACACTTATGAGCAAGGCTTAGCATGATTTGTAATGTTTTGGGTTGTGCAGAGGTTTTGGCAAAGATTGCTTTCATTGTTTTTGTCATCTTTTGACCTGTGATAGAAACTTACTATTTCAAATATTTGAAGGGTGCATATTTACATATTGCCTTTGGTTCTGTTCATGAAAAATTTCTGCACTTTGCACTGAACAATTACTGTTACCAGGGCTGCTTTTGGGATTTATATCAACTACGGGCACTGTCATTGAGACAACTGCAGGCAGAAGCTCTCATTAAGAGGAAATGTAATGTGGTTCTGGCTTGTAGGCTGGCTTAATAAAGGAGTTATTAATCAGGTTTGAGATTTTACAGCGTAGTTTCATATTATTTTCAGAGGACCTGTCTTGTAATTCTAGCTGTTCTGTTACTTTGGGGGAAGATTCTTAAGACTGAAAATAACAGAAGGCAGGACAATCGCTCTTGATACCTTCCTGGTTGATATTTCAAATGTGTGGAAAATACCTGTAGTTTAAGAGGACTTTAACATTTTCAGCTTATTTTTCTTCTACATTTCTGTTGTAAGCACAAACTGTACAGCACGCTTGCCTTCTTTTGATCAGACTAAATGTGATGAGAGTTAGTTTTCTAGGTTATCCTGAAAAGTAGAATAGTGAATAACAAACAAAATGCTCTCATTCATGGGATGAAAATATGATCTTGTTTGGGCTTTTTTTTTGAGAGGAAGAGGAAATATAGCTTCACCAGTAAACTCTTTCTGATCAAGTACCTTAGGAAGAGCTTTTTATAGACTTCTGCAATTGGAGTAGTGGGGAAGTCCATTGTATTGCATTTGGTAGGTAGTAAGAATGCAAATGCTGTCATCCACATGAAGAATAGCGGCTTTAAAAACAAAAATGAATGCTTTTATAAATAGCTGAAACATACCGAAAAATC